CTCTTAATAAATTGGAACTTTGAGCAATACTTTGCTTTGGATTCTGATTTACTTTTGGATGCTATTTGGAACCCTGACATACACACTTAATTGAGAGCAACATTAGCAATACTCACATATTGCAAAGTAGGGAAGTCACTGTACAAAATGGTTCCTAGCCTGTCAATCCTGGCCAGGAAAACTAGATACCATCAAGTTAGGCAACTCCCATTATGTTGCTCCTGCTCCATTCCCCCTTGATGAGCCATTATTGGAGATCACAGATCAGGAGTTTGGAAATGCTCCTGGGCTGTGCCAGGATCCTCTTTGGCATTCACAGCCACCAAACTCCTTGATACCAAATTCCAGAGCCCCTGCCATGCCTTGGGCCCCAGTTGCATGGAAGCGGCTGTTTTATCCCAGGCCCAAATATATTTCACAGACAAAGACCTGCAGATTTGATTAGCAACTGAAGTCCCACCATGATTCCTCCTCAAGTGGCAGCCTCCAACCTCCCTTCCCCTTTCAGCAAGAGCAAGAATGCCCAGCCCCGGTGAGCTTCTCAACCACAGGCACCCTCTTCCCCGGCTGTTTTGGCAGCCCCCCCCCCTTCCTGCTTCCCTGGGCAAATCACTCTCTGCTTATACTGACAGGGCCCTTGGAAAGCTGCGGGAGGCTGAAAGGGAAAGCAGTGGGTCAGGGGTGGGTTCCGGCTTCTGTTACTGCTGGTTCGCTCAGGGGCATGCTTCGTGAGCATGCTACGGATGCATGCACAGAATCAAAAAAACAAAATGGCAGCATCTAAGGCACCGCTGATAGAACCGGTTTGGGGGCGTGTCCAGCCGAGTTACTACCTACTCGGCCAAACCGATCCAAACTGATAGGAACCCACCTTTGCAGTGGGCCCCCTTTGGGATGGGCAGACAGGAGAGGGCCAAGAGAGGAAGCAGCCATCCCACTGGCAGGTCTGCATGGACACAAGGGTTCCGTTCGCTCATTCGGCTGTGACAGATGCTCCGGGGCCACTATGGAGGAGAGTCACTTAGGTTGCAAGCTCACCTTGAAGAAGACCATGGTGGCTCCGTCCTTGACTGCTCCATATTCGATTTTGGTCTGCTTGGCCAAATCATCTGCGGAGCCAATGGGGGATTCCATCCTCTCCACCGTCAAGAAGGCAGCTAAGTTGGCCGTGTAGGAAGAGATGATTATGAGGGTGAAAAACCACCAAATTCCCCCAATGATCCGAGTGGACAGAGCTTTGGGCATCAGCTCGGAGCCTGAGAAAGAAGAGAGAAAGAGAGGGAAACAGTCACAGGCTGGACAGCCCCTCCCCTCTCCAGGCTTGCGTCTGAGTCACGAGCTGCACCCCATTACACCAGGTCAACCTGAGTGACGCCTAAGAAACGCATCCTGCTGTTTCCATTCTTTCCTTCTGCCCCTGGCAGAAATCCCCAGCTCATTCCTGCTGACCTTGTGGCACAGCCAGTAATTTATGGGGAGCTGTAAATCAGAGTAATTAACTAAGCAGCACTTATGTGATTTGAATAGCAAGCCATTTGTGAACTTTTATGTCTCTTTTGTTCAATCGTTTAAAATCAAAAGAAACTCCTTTTATGTGGATTGTTTTTCAAAAGGGCTCACTCCGAGGACATTCTCCAAATATACAGGCTTAAAAAAAATCCAAAACCTCTGGGCAAGAAATTATTAGGGCTGTAAGTAGCAGCCAAGGGCAGCAAACACCATTTAAAATGTGTTACAGGCCTACAGTGACTTTGTCCAAAGAGAGGGAAGGACATCCATGGATGGTTTTATCTCTTCTGCTCCTGATTCCAGGTAGAACCAGATTCAAAAGGGGAGCCAGGGGAGGAAACCTGTGTCCCAGAAGTCTGAAAATTATGAGATGAAAAAGTGCGTGTCTTCAAAGACATTGAATCCATATCCCCACTGTGCTTCAGTGCTGAAAAGTGATAGCAGTTGTGAAGGGAAGAACACTCCAGACAGGAGGTCTGAAAACCTGGGGGACTTGGCGCCTTGCTGCTACCTAGTCTGCTCCAGCCAAGGAGCCTCTTTCTGTGCTGGCTGGCCAGATTCCTGGTGAATCTCCTCAAGCCTACAATTCATAGACATGGAAAGACCTCCTGAGCCCATCATGCTCAACCTTCTGCTTGGTGCAAAAATCCAAATGGAAACATCCCAGATAGAAAAGGAGCATGATGCCACCCCGGGTCAAAAGTTCCTCTGTCCAGTTATCCTTAATATGCAGGAGTTTCTCTAAGATCAGAAAGTGTGATAAAAGAGTAGTTAATCAAATACATGTGCTGTAGCCATATCAATATAATTTTAAGTGAGGAAGGAAGGAAGAAGGAATGAAGGAAAGTTAGTTGGACATTGTCTCTCTGTTTTCAAAATTGGACAAGAAAAACAAGGAAAATGGTTACATTTTCTTTGCTCCTAAAAGGTAGGCATTATCAAAAACCCTACCATGAATTACAGCACTGAATCTCCTGCCTTCTTGGAGTTACAGTGTAAATTGATCCCAGCAAACCTATCACAACCACCATTTCCAGATTAGATTAGATTAGATTAGAATAGTTGGAAGGGACCATGGAGGTCTTCCAGTCCAACTCCCTGTTGAGGCAGGAAACCATACATCATTTTAGAAAAATGGTTGTCCAATCTCTTCTTAAAAACTTCCAGTGTTGGAGTATTCATACAGTCTGGAAGCAAGTCATTCCAGTGATTAATTGTCCTGTCAGAAAATTTCTTCTTTGTTCTAGATTGCTTCTCTCCTTGATCAGTTTCCACCAATTGCTTCTTGTCCTTCCACCTACAGGTCTGGGGGATGTGAGGTATTGCTTTTGTTCTCTTCAGGAAAGAGTACTTGAGGCCATCAGGTTCAACCCCCTCCCACCCCCCTTCCTGGCCACTGGATAACTTCCTGCCTGATGCAGAGTTCTTGAAAACTCAAACACTTGCATTCTTTCTGTGCCATTTTCCAGTATGGCTATGACTCACAGAACAGATCTGTGACTACACAGAGCATAGCAAATTAGAGACTCGGATTAATATTCAGAAAGAAAGGAAGTAAATTTCTTTAAAAATGATGAAGGGGCAGCTTCCTATGGAACCTCAGGGTCTGATTAGTGGCATTCATAGACATTCAACATGATGACAGCCTCCCTCTTTTTGTATATGTGTCAACGTCACCCCTGCATGCAAAAGTTGTCTAGGGTGTAGCCACAACGGCCCCCGTGACTTTTTCATCCTCCCCAGCTTGGGCCCTGTGACCCTGGTCCGAGGCCTCCCTGTGTTCCTTGGGTCTTTATTCTTTTTTCACGAATGAAAAAGTACCCAGAGCAAATGCTGAGTAATCCCTGTCAGGCTTTGAGCACAGGGAAATCTACTGCCTGCTGGCTTCCGGGCCTTCCATTAGTTTAGCTATTTAGACCTGTAGAAACCCCTGGACTCCCACTTCTCCCTGGCAGGAAGGGCTGGTGAGCAGGTCCTGTGGGGAGCAGAGGGAGTCTCACTCCTCAGGACCCTTTGGACTGGGTAGTTCTATCTAAGTAGGTCTCGCCTCTGCTCTAAAGATCCTCCCCAGTGGAAGAGACAGAGAAGCTGATCTTGACAAGCTCTTCAGAGGCTGCCTAGAGACATCCTCTCTCCCCCCCGCCCAATTTCAAAAGCAACGTCTTTGCTTGTCATTGTGCGATGACAGCAACTCCTTGGTGCTCTGCTGCTGCTTGTAACCATGAAGGAGAGAAGACACCGTATTACATCTCTTGCTCCAAGGCTTTCCCCCCCCCCCTAACAACAACATTCATCTCGCACCTGTCAGTCGAGAAGCATGCTACAAGCGCATGGAGCAAGACAAGAAGAAAGGAAGAAGAGGAGCAGGAGCAGGACTTACCTTGCTGCATCAGGGCTCCCATTCCAAACCAGAAACTGTTGAGGAGAGTGAAGTTGTTCTCGACAATGTCTGACCCAGGGTTGCATGGATGAGCATCATACCATTCGTAAGGGCTGAACCTACATGTGGAAAGAGGGGAGGTCACACTCCTGCAGAGAAGGCAGGCACGGATGGGCAGGAGAGAAATGCCATGGGTCGGGCACCACTTGGGCAATTTGAATCAGGTTCAACCCATTCAGGTTTGAGCAAAAGTAGAATTCAAAAGTTGGCCTTCCCTAACCATCACTGGAGAAACAGCCTATGGCACTACTGATGTTTTGGTGAAACTGGCTGATACACGTAGCAAAAATAACCTTTAGACAGTGAGATGCAGATGAATTGTGAAAGTAGCTTTTATAATTTAATTTTCCTATGTCTTTCTCCCTTTATTTTGCAAAGTTACCTGCTCTGAGGAGAGGGACCCCAATCAATTGGGATAAGTAAGAGGAAGGGGCTTTGCATAAACATGTATTGATTTGTATAAAAATAAAATGCTTCATACGGTCCTTTTATGACCTGAATGGTATTGGTAGATTGCTACCAATACATGTGCCTAGTGCTGAAATGCTTACAAACATTTGAAATGATGGACTGTAGCCTGAAGTTGAATTTCATTCCCAGTGATTGCAAACAGATCCAGGTTGTTTTCTTGGCAACAATTTATACAGTACTAAAGAGAGTGTGATTTACAGGTTTTTACAGTGAAAACCAGGATAGAAATTCTACAAACAAGCAAGCTGGGAGCCAAGGAGGAGGAGAGCAGGCCAAGCTAGGGAAGAGAAGCAATACTGGGGCTCCACTTAGGAGAATAAAATGGAAGCAAGGCTGAGTCAAACTTGCCATCCAGGCAATGAGACCAGTTTTCTTGCTGGCATACCATCCTCTGGCTGATGCAAATTGGGTCTCCACTTAAGCAGAGGAACCTCTGAGGTTCTGAACAGCCATGCAGGTGATAGAAATCTTTCTGCTCTGGGAGGACTCATGGAAATGATGGTTAGCTGTGAAAAAGATCCTCATTTGGGAAAACCTTTCTCCTCCCAACTTTCGCACACATTAGTTATTTTGCTAGAACAGGTACTGGCAAAGGACGAAAAGAGGCATAAAAGGGACTTTTGAGGGAATCTCAAACTGTAGGAATCACTTCCAGCCAGCCAACTGGAAATTTTAAATTAAAATCTTTTCCATATATGTAAAAAAAAAAAAAAAGAAGCAGCTAAGAGACAGCTCTGTGGAAGAATGAAACACGATAGGTGAATTCATATATAGTTATTGCAGCATTTCAGGAATACAATGATTCGACACCTCAGATACCCAAACATTCATTGGAAAACCAACTCAATCTAGATTGAACACCCCCCCCTCCGCCTTTCCCTTCCCGGATCCTTAGTGGTTTGGCTGGTTCTTTCATTCCCCAGCAAAATGAAAGAAAATTTTCTCTTTTAGAACTGATTCCAACCAAGAGGAAAATATTCCTTGGAGAGCAAAAGCCTCTGTTCCTGCCAAATCTCTACAAAAAACAAGCTTCCTACGTTCATTTCATTCCTCTAGTTACAGAAACAAAGTCATTAACAAAGTTGGAAGGCACCTTGCAGGTCATCTAGTCCAACCCCCTGCCCAAGCAGGAGTCCCTGAAAGCCAGATTTCATGACGCGCAGCTACAAAATCTTAGAGATATATTAGGTGGGATCCCATGGAAGGAAATTCACAAGTCTAAAGGTGGGTGAATCTTATCCAAAGTAAAATACTGGAAGTACAAAAGGGGCTCCCCCCTCGCCCCTTTGGTTCCTTTCTTTTTGCTGTATCAGTAGTAAAAGGAAGGGATGGCAACCTTTTCACCAGGTATTACTTTGAGTCTAATACACTTTATCTCAGAGCTTTGAAGGAACGTGAAGATGTCACTGCATATTGGAGCACTTCTCTAGGGATTAAAGGACAATGAATATTAATCCTATCTTCACAAAGTAGGGGGAAGAAGCCAGGATGGGTTCAGCGTGCCAGTTCGGTGCGTGCACATTTGCAATTAAAAAAGGTCTGCGCATGTGCATGACATTACAAAAGTTTTAAAAAATTAAATTTTTGCAATGCACAGAGCCGAAAATCAAGATGCCGATAGAACTGGTTTAGGGGCATGGCAAGCTGAGTTACTACATACTCGATTGAACCGGTCCGAACCGGTAGGAACCCAACCCTGGAAGAAGCACCAAGAGCCAGAAAGGAGGAGCCAGATTGGCCAATTTGACATTGATATCTGGTAAAAGTGTAGATTATTGAGCAGTCAGTTTATTAGCCTCTAGAAAATTATTTTATTTGTTTTTCACATTTCTATACCGCCCATTTCCCTCAAAGAGGGAATCTGGGCAGTGTACAATAAAACATTAAAATATAAAACAACCCCATCCAAGTATAAGTATAAAAGTTGAAATAAAATTTAAAATTTGTTTAACAGGTACTAGCATGGGTTTGTTAATAACTAGGCAAGCCATGCCCTGTTGGGTCATTGATTGAAAGATATTTCCTTACCTAGAAAGAGAAACAGAATGATTATGGGTGGGCAAAAAAAGCAATGAGACTGGGAGTGGCTTCTGAATTCCTGCAGGCTTCCCCACTGACATTGCTTGTGGGAAGCGAGCAGGGAACATCGGAAATTTTCCTTCCTTTCTTCTGTGGGCAAAATCAGCATTCAGACAAATGGAACAATTTAAAACAAAAAGAATGTGGCTTTGTAAGTTCCGGCTCGCAGAGGGGCTTGTATGTTTTTATCAGAACATGCCCTTTTACAATTCCTGAATCTCAAGTTACAAAAATTTCTTCTAAGGCCATTCTTCTCTGTAGATAAAAGAAGGGAAGGAAGCAATCTGAGATCTATTGTTATTACTTATTAATATGTATGCATGCATAATTTTCTCCTCCTTTCTTCAACATTTCCCCCAGCCTGACAACATTTCTTAGTTTATTCTGAGTCTTAGCTTTCCTGACTTTATCCCTGCAGATTCGGGCTATTTGCTGGCATTCTGTTTTAGCTATATGCCCCCCTTTCCATTTTTATATTTGTTCTTCTTGTCCCTTAGATTGTCATAGAGCTCTTTGTGCAATCATGTTGGTTTCATCTGGAGTTTCTTATTCTTTTCTCTCTATAGTATTGTTTTTGCGTGAGCTTTTAGTATTTTGTTTTTCAGAATTTACCATGGATCCTAAACTGTTTTTCCTTCCAGGATTTACATTCCTGGAATCCTTCCTAATGTCTTAGTTTGTTGAAGTCAGCTCTCTTAAAGTCTAAAATATCTATACCTGCATTATAGCAAATTCTAGTATGGCATGATGACTTTCCCCCAAAACTCCTATAACATACACTCCCTCAACCATTTCAGCCCTATTAATTATGATTAAGTCCAGTGCAGCTGACCCTCTAGTTCCCACCTCCACCTTTTGGGTGACAAAGCTGTCAGCTAGGCATGTCAGAAACCTGTGCCATCTCCCGCTCATTGCAGTTTGCTTCCCAGCTGATAGTTAAAGTCCCCCATTACTACAGTGGTGTGTTTCTGGCACACCTTGGCTGACTGATTAGCAAAAAGTTTATTGATTCCTTCCACTTGGTTGGGTGACCTGTAATACAAACCTATGGCAATGTCATTTCTTTTTCCTCTGATATTCATTGAAATACTTTCAAGAAGGCTTGCATTGCTAACGGGTATTTCTGTGGTACTAACTACTTTACATACAATGCAAACCCCCCCTTTTTTTGAGTTGGTTCTGTTTCTTTTGAATAATTTATATCCTTGAAGCATGTTCCAATCATGGGTTTCATCCCACCAAGTTTCAGTAATAAGAACAAATATCATACATGTCTTCATGTACTAGGACTTCAGGTTCTCCGTTTGTTACCCAAACCCAAGCATTAGTGTTTAGGAATTTGAGCTCAATATGGCTGGCCATCCCTTCTCACCACTCCCTTTCTCATTGTCTGATTGGTTGTCTTGGAGGTTATCTTGGGGATTGGCCTTCAATAGTCTTCCTTCCCTTCCAGTTTTAGTTTAAAGCTCTAAAAGACAAGCCAGATGGTTTTTCTTTCTTTCTAGTTCTTGTGAGAGGCAGCCTATCTGTTGCCAGAAGCCCTTCCTGTAGCTATGGTCCAAAAATCCAAAGTTCTCTCAGGGGAGCTATTGCTTAAACCAGAGGTTTACTTCTAGAATCCTCCATGCCTTGATTAGATGTTGACTTTCCATTGGAAGTCAGGTGAAAACACCATCTGTGCTCCCAGATGTTTTGCTTTTCTGCCTAGTTCAGTGACGGCGAACCTTTTCGGAGTGTTTGCATTGCACTTGTCTGGGACACAACCCAGAAGTGGAGCTGCCCAGTGGGCACGTGCATTCCAGAAAATGAACTTCTGGCTTCTGGCGCACACATGCACAGTGGCCAGCTAGTCTTCCAGTTACTGTCATGCATAGGTGCATAACGATCAGCTCGCTGGCATGCATGCTCACATCAGAAAATGGAAGACCAGCTCTTCCAGTTTCCAGCACTGCCGCATGCACAAAAGCCAGATGATCATCATGCGCGTATGCGCACCAGGAACCTGGAAGAGGAACGGGCAATGCTGTGTGTGCCAGGCAACATGGCTCCATGTGCCACTTCAGGCACGCATGCCATAGGTTTGTCATCACGGACCTAGTTACTTATAGTGCCTTGAAAGTGTTGTCTTGGCTCTAAATTCTATAATTCATCCCAGCATGAAAGAAAAGAAAGAGATTATAATCTGTGGTTTTGATTATTAAGACTTTCTGTCACATTTTTAATCTTTGCACAACACAATATAAAAATTGTGTGGTCTACAAACTGATGATTCTGTTCCTTTGAGTAGTAAGTTATGGATCACCAACACATATCATTTTTTCCCTTTGGGGAAAGGCTGAGCTACTTTAATTCCTGTCACTAGAACACTGGAAGAACCGCGATGATTAGGGGACTAGAGAATAAAACATCTGAAGAACTGTTAAAGGAACTGGGCATGGCTAGTCTACTGAAGAGAAGGACCAGGGGAGACAGCATAGCAGTCTTCCAATATCTGAGGGGCTGTCACAGA